AGTCATTTGCACACTTGCGAGCAATCCTCTTGACGTTGTTGCGAGCAGCTCTGTGCGGTGCTCTTGGCAGTGATGGCGGGCTCCAACTCCTTGATCCCCACCTCGAACCAGTCTTCACTTTTTCTCTCCCGCATTCCAAAGGCGTCTGGGGCCGCCTCATACATGGTGTCGGATGTAGTTCCATCGCGCTGTGGCACTGTCAGTATGGCAGTCCTCTAAGGCATTCTCCATGGTCTCGGCAAAGCACTCACGCGGTCCTGGGAGTGAAACTCTGGCTGTGCCAATACGGGGGCATCCTTGCTGTTTGGAGCGATGAATGCGCTTGGGCTGGAGACGCGCCTTGCTGCAGACCAGGGAGTGGTCTGTGTCGTAGTCGGCACTGTGGTAGGTGCAGGAGGTGCCCGGCTTGAGGCGGGCGTTAGCTACCCAATGGGGCTCGAAGACCCCTCCCACCGTCGAGAGCAACCCCTGGCACCCGGCTCTACGCCAAACGAGCCTGGACTTATAACCGGTAGACTGCTGCTCTCCGTGTTGTGCCTACGCTGGTCAGCGAAGCTGGAGTGACCTCTCCAGGTGCAGGCCTGGGCGGAAGATATGGAAATCCTGGTGTGCCCAGTCGCCAGGATCCCCCTCTCGGCGTTGCTGGTAGGGTCCGACGGAAAGGACGAGCAAAGGACGAGCCGATACGGTCGGTGCCAGCGCAGCTGCAGGAGTTGCCGGAAGGTTTCACATTGTTCCACCAGCCGCCTACGGGGCTCCACTCCGGATTTTCTGTCAGGGTTTACTCCCTTAGCCTTCACTTCTCCCAAAGCAACCACAAGGCAGTGGTGGTTCTGCAGCAGGTAGTACTGGGTTACAGGGTACCAGTAGCAGGCAAAAGATGTACCTGGAATAGTATGGGGAACGAAATATAGTCGAAAAAAGAAAATTATTTTTATATTCTTTTTTTTCAAAAATTGCACCTCGTTGGGGCCAACTTGGTCAATCCTACTTGGCTCTTGGAAGGGCCAAATTGAGAAAAAGTTCCAAAGTAGAATTCATAGGGGCCAATTCAGATTTTGGAGGGGTCGAAATGGTACCTGTCCCACCCGTTTTGGCTCAAATAGTCCAAAACGAAGCGGTTTTACTGACACATTTGTCAGAGAGATGTCTTATCTACCTATCACTTTGATCCTCTTCTTATTT